GTTGCTGTAGCTTACAGTACATTGGAGAACCTTTCCCAACCCTATGGCAGATGCTGAATCAGGTGCCCCTGCCCCACAACTAAACTACCCTGGCTGTGGCACTCCAGCTGCTCACAGTTCCACAGCTAGCAAGTCATTTGCTCCTCAGGGGATTTGGCCTTTTCCCTAGGGCTGGGAGCACTATGCAGCCACAAGCCATCTCACTAGCCTTTGCTGTATTGGCTGGTGCAGATATTCCATTCTCCAAAAGGGCCCCATCGTCACATTAGGTACCTGAAGCTCATGCTAAGCTGGTGTGGCACCACCACTAGGCTCTACAGTCCAGAAGCAAGAAGTTTCTCCTAGTAATTGCAGCACACTCTGGGGGGCTTTCAAGCAGGCAGCTTTAGCTCCCCTGAGAATCATGAGGAACTGGGAAACTTGCAACTGAGCAGCTTGAAGAGCCAACAGTGCACTCTCATGCTGATAGAGCATTTCCAACTGTGCCCTCAAAAGACAACTAGGAAGAGATACAGCTTGTACCATCCCCTACTGTGGAAAATTATTAATTCCAGTTCACCACAAGGCCAGTACTTGGCAGCCCCAACACAAGAGGATGGGGCACCTTTCATCATCCCCTGGATGAAAGCATTCAGGTCACGCAATGCATCGAGGAGGTCATCACTACACAGCAGATATTAGCAGGTGGCCCATATGTGACTCAGCACTGCTACTCACTGCTGAAATCACAGGATTGTCTGTCCAGCTAACAAGGGAGGAAGAAGGCAGAGACCTGGCTCAGTGAGTGACTGCAGCAACTGGGTGGCAGGCTTTATCAGGTCAGATTAGGGGCAAGTAAAACCATAGCCCGTCTCTCGCGATTGGGCAGGTACTCTGGATTATGCCAGGGTCCATTATCAGAAAAGTCCATCTATTAGAACAGTGTTTACTGAAACAGCGAGCGAGAAATTCAAGGAAGTGCCGACTCATAAAGCATATGCAATGTCTCACTTGAGAGAATGAGTGAAAAGTGACTATTCCCCAACCCTTCAGAGAAATGTCTTGGTAAACCCAAAAAGCTGTTATGCTTGTGTGGAAGAGAGACTGGGGGAGGCACTGCGCATCTCCCTCAACACTCACACAAACAACTCATTCCATGTTTCTATCCAAGTCTATCCAGCAGTAAAGGACCCAGCTCTTCCTGGGAGCCAGAGGCAAGCCGTACCTTGCAGAGCAGCACCCAGGGAAGTTTGAGGGTGGGTCAGGAACAGCGACACTTGTCACTGGCAGGGCACAGAATCCACCGGGCAGTGCAGGTGCCAGGGAAGCACAGTACCATGCAAAGAGCTGCCTGTTTACAGCAGCATTCAAGAGATGCTGCACTCCTGAATCCAAGGGCCAGGCTCAGGCATGCGGGGACCTCCCTGCCCTCCCCCAGGGGCATGCAACCAACAGGCTGCATCTCTAACCCCTTTTCAACAGGACTTGGCTGCTGCCAAGGCCTCTGTGACCACATTCAACTTAACACCTTCAGTGGTCACCAGCTGGAGCACAGCATCTGAACTCCTGCAGCCCATGCTGCCACCTGTTATTACAGTGCTGGCGCAGAGCCAGGGCCAAGTCCAGCAACTCATGATGGCAGAATCGGACGAAGCGGCTGCATGGCCCCACCTCACTCAGGCACCCAAGGCCAAGCCCTGCTATTAATACACTCCAGCTCCTAGAAGCTTTGGACTGCAGAAACCCAGTTCCACCCTTAAGCAGATTTCACCCACAGTAAATGCCAAGGGAGATTAGCAACCCTGGAAGGGCGGGAGGGGAATGGAAAAGCAGGAGCTTTTCCTGCCTAGCAGTCACTAAGAGGTTTACTTCTTAGCTACCAGCTTGCCTATGTGCAGGAGCGCATGCACTCTGTGCCATTCGCGCCAAGCGCTGCGTCCGGAGAGTCTGCCCAAGGGACAGCCAGTGCCCAGCCCCTGCGATGATCAGTGCTCCAGAGGTGCCAAGATACACAGGAGGCAGCTCTGACTGCTCGACTGTTATTGTAGAAGCAGGAGACTAATGCCCACGGAGCCAACAGGGCTGCAGGCCTTTGTCCCCTCAGCGGAGGGGTTGGATTTCACAGTGCCCTTGGCTCTATTTCACATTCCCGCAGCTGACTCACCCACTAGTGCTCCGTTTAGTTTGCACAGAGCAGCGAGCCAGGTTCCTGTCTGACATGTGACTTTCCACAGCCACAGTCTCGTTCTGGGAAGCGAGAGTGAGAGGGCTCTTAACCAAGAGTGCTTGCCTCCTCCACATCACCCCAGCCAACACACCCTTTTGCAAAAGTGACCAAGTAACATTCTCTAGGGCAGAAGCACAATTTTCCAGACACAAGCTGCATGCTATCAGCTTTCACAGCAGCCATTGTCTGAGCAGACACACCAATGTTTGAATTCACCCAATGTTTCTTTGAAGGCTGGCAGAAAGCAAGCTGGGGTGGGTGGTGGGGGGTTCACACCCACCATCTCTGGCATCCGAGCTGCGCAGTTTGTCTGGCTGGCCGAAAACCTTCCAAAGGAGGCCTCTATAGCTCACTTCTGCCTTTCAGCCTCCCAGCACTGTGTACACACACACCAAGGAGTAAACAGCACTAAAGGTGAAAGTCAATGCTTCACAGACAAAAGAACATGGAGCTTTGCCAGGTGGGAAAGCTAGTAACGCCAGGTTAACTGTTTATATACCCTGCAAAGCCAGGAATTGATCTTGGCCATAAGTTTACTCGTAGTAATTGTTCAGGTCATGGCGCTTTCAGCACTTAACACTAAAAGGTTGAGACTTGACTGGTCTCATGCCCTCCCCTCCCCTGCCCCTAACCCCCAAATTTGGTGGAACTACAGCTTTTCTAAGAGCCAATAAAGAAAAATCCTACAGGAATTAGAAGGTGTTAGGAGCCCCCCAGGTTCATTATGAAGATTTACAAGTCATCATTCAGAATAAGCAGACCAAAGGGCCCTGTACACCTTTCTAAACTGTGCCACACTAGAATAGTTAAGGACTAGCCTGCCTGTGAGAAAATTTCTTCTTAATCCTTACAGGCCTTCAGCAGCACACATAGCTGCTTGTTGCTAAATCCACAAGTGTTACAAGCTGTGGCTAACAGAGGCATCACAACATAGCTAACTTAACTTTGCCTTCTGCCAAGTGCTGATTCTTGGCTTTGTTACAGAGCCTAACCAGGGACATCTGGAAAGGAGTGTGTGCATCATTTATCTCAGAGGACATCAGGACATGCCTCCATCCTCCTCCTCCCAGATGCACGTTTAGTGTCACATGCTGCAGATGCTGGCTAAATCACCAAGTCACATGCCAGGAGGAGTCGCATTATAATGCACAACTAGACCTCAGGTTGAAGGCTGGAGAGGATTTATGCATTGTGAGCTCCAGACAATGCTCCAAGAACCTGCATTCACAAAATGGCTACATAAAAAGCCATCATAACTGGCATCAACTGCCCCACTCCCTTTTGTTTTTTGCTGCAGCAGCC